GTTAGGTTGTGTACAAACCATAAGATATACTAAAGAATTGACTGCAAAAGAATAAGAAATATTAGACATAGCTAGTTGCTCTTTTTTAGACATTGGATAAAATTTCTTACTTAAATGAAAATGGTTAGCAAGTGGACTGCTAACTGATGTAGCATATTGTATATTAAATTTACTAAATACCCGTTCAACATATTTTTTTATGACAACCACAACTTTTCAGTTCTTTTATCCCGGATAATGTTTATACCGAGATCTGCTTTGTTGGATTTAAATATTTCATATCAAAAGACTTAGATAATTATTCTTTCAACCTATAAATCATACTAGCATTTTGTTTCACAATCAACATATCATCAACATATAATAAAAGCATAATGAAATTACCATTAAAATTTTTTTTAACATACACACAATGATCCACTACCATTTTTTTATAGTTGTGGTTTATCATAAAAGAATCAAACTTTTTGTACCACTGTCGCAGAGCTTGTTTCAAGCTATACAAGCTTTTTTTTAGTTTGCAAACTAAGTGTTCTTTCTTTTTTACTTCAAAACTCTCAGGTTGATTCATATAAATGTCCTCCTATAAGTTACCATACAAGAATGCAGTCTTGAGATCAAGTTACTTAAGCTCAAGATTCAAACTAATAGTTAATCCTAGTACCACTTGAATGGAACTCATATTCACAACTGAAAAGAAGATCTCATCAAAATAGATGCATAATTTCTAAGAAAAATGTTTTACCATCAATCGAGCTTTGTACCTCATTCATTTGTCACCATATTTTTTCAACTTGAATATTTCTTTATTTTTTAACGGTGTCTTTCTTTTTCGAAGTTTAACAAGATCATAAGTATCATTTTTTCATAATGACTCTATCTCTTCTTTCATTGCTTTTAATCAGTATTTTTTATTTAGAGTAACTTACATATCTTGAAAACTCTCTAGCTCTCATTCACTAGTAACTAAAATAAAATCTGAACTTGGATACCTGGTAAATGGCCTACACTCTTTAGTAGATCTCTTAGGTTGAAACTCTACATCACCTGATATCAAAGGTAGCTCCCTTTGCTCAACATTTTTTGGTGAAAAAATTACTCTTCCTGTTTAAAACTAATTGCATCTGGCTCATCACTAATTGTGGCTATCTCATTTATATCTCCAAGTTTTATTTTTTGCTCATTTCACCATCTGTTGTTCTTTTCTATGAAACCTTTAACGGTGTTAAAATATCATACTTAACAATAACCCGTATAGTTTTTTTATTTTTTTCAAGGTCTACTATGATTTTTTTTATGAAAGATCATATATCTGATTTTGATTATCTTTCTCTTCACTAAATCACATACCTTGTAGCCAAATTTTTTTATCACTATATCCTATAAACACACACTGTGTGGTTTTACTATCAAGCTTTGACCTTTACTTTTTCGACACATGCATAAATGTTTTACACTAAAAATTTTTAAATAAGAATATGAAGCATATTTTTTTATCCACACTCTTTCTGAAATATCAAAGCCTAAAAGAACTAATGGTGATCTATTAAACAAATAATAAGCTGTGTTAACTGTTTCACCCCAAAATGGCTTTGATAATTTTGTCATCTTCAACATACATCTGACTTTTTTCACAATGGTGCGATTCATTCTTTCAACTATACCATTATATTACGGTGTTTCAAGTTTTATCATCTTATGTCTGATCACATGCTTTAAACGGTATTTTTTAAAGTCTTTGAATGTGTATTCCTTATCATTATCAGTTCAAATACACTTCAAGAGTAACATTGTCATCCTTTCCACTATAACATGAAATTTTTAAAAATACTATAATACCTAGCTTTTATTTTTTAATATATACATCTAAGTCTTATGTGAAACATCATCAATAAAAGTAACAAAATACATGCTATCGCCTAATGACTCAACCTCAATGGGACTATATATTTCAAAATAAATTAATTTCAATCCATTTTCTTTTCTCTAACAACTCTTACGAAAAGAAACTTTATAATACTTACCAATTAAACAATGATCACATGAATCGAGAAACATACTTTTGGTTAAAAAAATAAGAGATTGTCTTGCCAAAACCTGTAACCTTTTCTCACTCATGTGTGCCAATCTTTTATGCTATAAGTTTACTGAAGCATCATCCTAAACAGTATTTATTTGGTTACTATTCAATTACATCCATATCTTATATATTATATAGTATAATTTTTTCCTTGCAACTACCGTAGATCCTTTGAGAAACTTTTACTGCTCATTCTTTTGTTGACTTTGTTTTCCTTCTTATCAAGGACATTAATAGCAAGCAAGTTCGTTCTTATATCCGAAATATTTCTAACATCTCTCAAAGTTAGCATGCAACCTATATTAGTTTGTACAATAATATCACCAATTCTAACAATCTGTGACATATTTTTGTTTCTCATCTTGGTGTAACCAAAGTCTTTTGCTTTGTAAATTGTAAACAACTCTCTTTTAAGAACACAATGATATGCCGCTCCTGTGTCAACTATCCACTCAATGCCGAGATTACCAACATGATTACAGTCACCATGTGTACAAATCAAAGTAATTGAATCATTATCTAAATTCACTACTGCAACATTGTCATCATTTGAACTCTTACCTTTCTCATATTTTCGCTATTGCTTTAAGATTTTACAATTTCATTTTATATGACATGTTTTACCATAATGGAAACATTTCACTTTATTTCTAAACTTGGATCTATGTTTAGACTTACTATGATATTTTGAGTTCTGACCTCTGTCAATGTTTCTACCTTTGTTCTCTATGACCAGAACTTGACTCTCAAGGTCTACATCTTTTTACCTTGTTTTTTCATTAAGCATACTATCATTTACTATCTTCAATGTCACCTTATAATTAGAAATTGAATTAAGAACAGTCACAACTAGAGTATTTCAACTGTTTGGCAATGAACCCAAAAGAAATAATACTTTCATTTCATCATCCATCTTAAGCTCCATAGTAATCTTCTGATTAAATATATTTTAAAAATTACTCAAGTGCTTTGTAATAGATCATCCATCAATGTACTGTAAAGTTATAAGCTTTTTAACAAGCATAACTTTATTCATACATATTTTTCTCTCATACAATGCTTGGGCATTTGCCTCTTGTACTACATGATGAAACACGTCGATATCAACCCATTTTTTTATTGTAGCTAGCATTTTTCTGCCTCGTTTCTTTTAATTTTCATCTTTCATATATAGTAGTTTAGCTTAATCACCCAATATTGGCTCATACAAATCTTTATAGTATAAATGATCTTCCATCATAGGCCACCCATCTATATAAAACAAAACAAAAATTGCAATCTCCAATATACAAATAAAATCAAATGGGTATTGGGAGTTTTGAGATTTTAAGTTACCCTGATTTAGAAGAATGTGACTAGAGCCAAAAAAGATGGCTTTGAGAGTCAACAACGGTGCTTTTAAGTCGTTTGGAAGAGCTTGAAATGACATCGACGGTGATGAGGGATTTTCAGGAATTGTGTGGAGCTGTTATTATTTTGTCTTGTAGTATATAGAATATGTATCACCCTTCATAATCTCAAACAGAATTTATTTCTGTCTTGGGTTGCTTCTATATCGATGTCTCAAAACAGAATTTACTTTTATCTTGGATTGTTGCTGTATCGATATCTCAAAATAACCCTTACTTTGATATCAGTTGTTGGGGAGATAAATTATACTTAGAGCATATGAGAGCACACCATAGAGCTCATACATATATGTTGGATACCGCTTCAATCCAAAAGCTTAAGCTATTAGGTTTTTGGGTCTTAAATTTTTAGCTCTTTCATGCATATATAAGACATCTCATTCAAATTTTTTAATGATGTAAGATTCTTTATTCACATATAAATCATATCTCAGTATAAAAAAATTTCACATATTCTTATCACGTAACAATATATTGTAATCAATATTATATATATATAATCCCAAAAGCAAGGGAATAAGGATAAATACTAGTTGTAACTTAATATTTTAATTATTGCTTTAGGAGTGGGTATGAAACATCGTAAGAATTAGTAAAGAAATCTCATCAGAGTCAGACCAACCAAAATGAAAGATGGAATCTGTCTTTGATATTAAGGGGTCCAATGCGTTTTCTATAAAGTTGGCAAAACCTTCAAATTAACAACCAGCTCCAGCTCGCCTGCTTAGTTTTCCCTCTTTTTTTTTTTTTTTAAGATTTCGATTGAAGCCATTGCACACCCAAACAAGTGCATACGTTAACGACCACAGACGCATAATGTCGCAACATTCATGAGCAAATTTAACCTTGTAAAAAATTATAAGTTGTCACCATTTGATGCGACTTCATCACATGTTATAATAATAACCCATTTCGAATACAAAGCTCAAGGGCAACCAAGAATCTTGATGTTTTTGTTTTTATAAAAGTTTAATTTCAGTTATTCTTTTTTCATTGATCCAAAAAGTTGAAAAAATATGTAAAAATTATACTAATGTAAGTGAATAATTCCAATATATATATATATATATATATATATATATATACCATATTTTTTATGAATTTTCGCCACATCCACTTTAAAATTTGAAATTTATCTTTTATATGATGAGACATAATTACTTTTAATTGCGTTTTTATCAAAAGAAATTAAGGAGCATTTTTTATGATATAAAACTCAAACTCAGCCTGAATCAGTTGAGAGCCGTCGAGCTAACTTTTGCCACACAATGATTGATTTACTACCGGTAGTTCTCAAAATTCCCTTCCATCAATTTTATTATAAGCTTTATGTAAGAAGATAAAGCTTGAATATGGTATGGATGTCAGACCAATCAGTCAGTCAATTGGATCAATTATAATAGTACTATAATTTTAGTATTAGTCAATTTAGATCCTCAATTTTGTTAAACAAAACAAAATTGATGGTGACACTACATTTGCATAATATCATGACAGATGGCACGCAAAAAGTGACTCTGGACCCATAATGATAATATTGTTTGGAATAATACTCCCCATCATTTGGTTGCTCACAAGATTCTGAATTGGGTAATACCGAGTAGAGAAGTATTTAACTCTGCTGATTTTTAACACATCGCAAGTAAAGCATGTATACATGATATGGAATGACTTGAGACTTTGTACAATATTTTGCTGCTTTTGACACTAATAAAGAAGAAAATATTTTGCACCTATTGTTAGGGGATGAATCAGTAGTTACTCCGCAGTCCTTATTTTCTTCTTTTTCTTTTTCCTTTCCTCTTCTCCTGTTTGTTTTGATCTTTATTTCTAAGAAAAAAAAAATGATCAGCAGTAGCTTTCCTCGGTATCTAGGCCTTAAGCTGTGAATCAAACATGAAGTTCCTGCAGACATAGCAACCACCCACCAATGTGTCCAACTGCAAAAGGCACCATGGAAAAATGCCGTTTGAGTACCAGAATGTGGTTGGTTACTGATTAGTGACACAGACCAACTTGTCTTCTAAGAGTTTAAAAGATGGGGCAAGTTACTGGGATCCGCACTGCTTTTAAGTGGCTTCCAATTGGGAAGGCAAGAGATTCAAAAAGCTCCCTTGAACAGGCTGATCGTTGGTAGTTGAGTCGGAAGTATCTGATGATTCTGACTCACCCTCTATATATGTTGAGTGATCAGATAGAAAAATCAAAATATGTTAAAGATAGTGGTAGTGAGGTATATGTTCATAGGGCTGTACAAAGAATGACCAACAACATATTATGTATAATAAGGAAAAAGTAAAAGTACCAAATAGCAACTTAATTGACGGCCTCATTGATTTGGTGCTCTTCTTCTTCAACTCAGCTACAAAGAGAAAGCAAATGTCATCTTATTAACGTAATTTTCAAAGTCAGAATATTTACAATCCTAGAAAACTCGTGTTGCACAAAAACAAGGCACTATTATGTAATGCCAGCAATAAATCAAACAGGCTAGATAGATTATGGTGTACTTTCCAGTTAGTTTGGGTTGGTGATTAGAAAATTTGACCCCAATAAATTTATAACAATAAAAGAAATATTAGTGCACTCACATTCCCAAGAATCTATTGCAATAACCCTTGAATTCAGTGACTTTGGATAAATCTTTAGTGCAAATTACTAAAACAACTATGTTCCACATAGAGCAGAATCAAGCTATAAAGTTAAGATGCACTATTCAGATAAACAAAGCTGATACAACATAATAGTAATGATCATATGAAGCTTTAGCATCTTGAAATATTGGTTAGACAAGCATTCTTACACATGATTCTGAAACCAATACCATGCCTTTCTATGTCCATAATTCCATACATGAAGCGGAGAAAGAAGAATACCCATCCCAGGCAATTGATAATCATTGACAATTTCAAAATTTTTGTATGTGTATCCCACGAAGTTAATGTCCTTTGATGACAGCATCTGTAAAATAGAGGGATGATCAAGAAAAAAACTGTTATGTAGGTCATAAATAATTAGCACATGAAACACATTGCCATTACATATTAGGATTACGGAGTACAAAATCATAAAATGCTCTAGAAGCTTACTTTCCTCCATGGACCAGATTTTGGTGGTGTTTGACTCTGATTCTCAGACTGCAAAGTGAAAAATAAGCAAACAGAAAACAAAAATCACAAATGACATTAAAGTTGCAATACAAACATTATTACTGAATCCGAAAATTAAGGGACATCAGTACCTCGTCAAACTTTTCAAAATTTTGAGTATCTAGCTCACCATTAACCTCAGGAATAAATGCTGCATCCATTTGATATATCCCATCCCAGTCCACACCTTGAAACCATGGATGATCCTAGAGAAGTAAAATGAAGCACGATAATCTCCTTCATCTGGAAACAAGTTTAAGGAACAAATTCAAGAATCTAGAATAGGACAAACCAAACAATACCTTAATTTCACCTGCCCCTTTTGATCCCAGTCTTTGATTGACATTACACAAGAGTTTGCTAATCAGATCTTTTGCCTCTGCAGATAACTTTGCTTCTTCAGGAAACTTCAAATGAGTTTTCCAGTTTATTATCTACGCAAGGAATAAAAAATATGACATTATTAGACAAATGAAACTTCTTGATATCCTCCTTTTTCTTTATCAATTCATTCAATTTGTTAAAATAGATGGCTGTTATGAAGCTGAAAAAAGAATTATACTTGAAGCCGCTTTTCCCTAATAAAAATTCATAAAACAAGAAAAATCTATGAAAAAAACAGAAATGTTCTATTGCCAGACTATGAAAATTTCTTTTCACATTCTAACCCCAGCATAATCAGGACCAATTAACTGTTCTTCAAATGGAACTAGCAGAAAAATAAAAACAGAGATAACACGAATTTCACATAAAATAATGAGAAAAGGAAAAAGTACATTATATCAATCGGCAATATTTCTCAGGTACCTTCCTACAAGTTGACATCGGATCATCTGAATAAAAAGGTGGATATCCCACAAGCATTTCATACATAATAGCACCAAGTGACCACCTGTCCAAAATAATTATCATCAATCACAACAATCTATAATACTCAGTGAAAGAAATTAGTGCATTCTAGACATCATTAGAGGACAACATCACCTTAATTTACCATGTGTTATCGAGAATGGAAGTTAATCTTTCAAAATGAAGTCAGCATTCTATATAAAATAGTTTAAAATAAAATATCCTCTAACCTGAAACTAGACATAATCAATTCCATTTCTAAATTAAACAGTTGTAATTTCAATTGCTATGTCAAACAATACAGAAGAAGATTGGTATGTGAAACAAAATGGAATTTCACTTCAAAATGCATAACTACTGACCAGTCACATTCCATTCCATAACCTTTCTTCAAGAGGACTTCTGGAGCAATATAGTCGGGAGTACCAACAGTGGAATAAGCCTGCAAAATCCAAGTATTTGACCAAAAAAATGAATCATCTAGCAGTCACTTCTAAGTTCTTTCAAAAGCTCATAACCAGTACTTTAAGACACATATACAAACACATACGAACAGAAACAATTCTATTTACAAATATTATAAAGGCAATGCAGGGTCCAATATGTTCCATTTAGTGATACCACGAGTAAAAAGATGCATAGATGAGACCATATTCAATTCACCAAACAAGGGCTACATATAAATTTAATTTAGTAAACCTTTTATAGCATGAGACATAGAGAGATAGAGGGATAGTTGAGACATGATGGCTGAGAACTTACAAGCATTCTCCGGTTCTTTTGCCAATGCTGTAGTTGCTCTTGCTGTGTTCGTTTTGAAGCTGCTGGGCATTCATCATTTTCTGTAACCTCATTAATGTTGCCTCCTACAGAAAAATCCTGTTCTTGGAGAGTACTGCAATCTAAGGGTTTACATAGTCCAAAATCTGACAATCTCAAGTGTCCATATCTATCCAGTAGCAAGTTGTCAGGTTTGATATCCCTGCAACATTTAGCACTCGAAAGTTTAATCTTATGTCAGAAAAAAACACCTTGACAGTTCATTTTGTGACTTTGTCTATATATTAACCTATGAATATAATTGTGCTTGTGGATAGACTCAATAGCCAAAACTGTCTCTGCAACATAAAATCTAGCTTCATCATCAGTTAAGGTATCCTTTCTCATAAGTAATGTCATCATATCTCCACCAGGTAGATATTCCATTATAAGATAAAGGAACTCCTCATCTTGGAAAGAACAGTAGAGTTTGACAATACAATTGCTGTCAACTTCAGCGAGCAGGTTCCTTTCGGCTTTCACATGCTCAACCTAAATAAGATAGAAACCTTCCGAAATGAACAGTGTACACAACCTCAACAATACCACATGGCCAGAATAATGAATACCTGGCCTCTTCGAAGCATTTCTGATTTCTTAAGTTTCTTCATAGCATATACTTGGCCTGTTGTCTTTTCCCTACAAACTCTAACCTGCACCATAAACAAATTTTTTAAGTAACAGAAAAGATTTATTTTAATTGGAGAAAAAGGAAATTGAGTAGCCTACAACATCATTACTCCTTGCACAAGGACAAAACAGAACATGATCTATGACAGTTGACATTATATAGAAGTATACCTCTCCAAACGCACCCTTGCCAATCATCGTTAATAATTCAAAGTCATCAGCACCCATTTTATGCCTCTGAAGGCGCATGTATTCAGTTTCCTTTTTCTCCAAGAACTTTAGTAAGTTATTTTGATCTTGCTCAGAGACGTCAGCATCCGCCAGCTTCTTTTCCAGGATCGTTCGTCTATTAGAAAAAAGAATTACTACCAGAAAATTAATTTCTTTAAACAGAAGAAAATAATCTACTAAAGTTTGACAAATATTGCAATAAAATGCCCAATGTCTTAGTATCATTATAAAATCCACTCCAAATTATTATCAACCCTGAACTAGCTCTGCTGTGCTTCGTTTTCAGAATAATTCAGTCAATAATAGGGGCAAGGATCCTAGACCTGCCAATCTTTTGCTACATCTTGGCTCTAGTTGTTCGATATATTTTATGCTATAAAAGACTGCTGGTATTATCTTTTTCAGTTCAAATCATGAGAAAATTTCGTCAATTTGCAATACCTTAGAATAATTATAGAGATTATTAGTATTTCGGATAATATCTAATAGCAATAATTTACAGAAATATCCTTGTTTGTCAATGTAATTTACAATTTACATATGAAATAGAAGATACTTTAGCAAATTTAAGCATAAGATTTGGAAGCCATACCGTTCTTTTCTTTCTTGGAGATTCTTCATTTGTTCCTTGTAATGATTCTCAATGTACTGTTTGGCAGCGGCGACCTTTTGTTTGGTGATGTTGGAGAGAGCTTCTTCGTCCGTATTCGCTTCGTCATTCCCTTCTCCTCCACCGCTTTCACCGCTGGGCTCCTTCTTCCTCGTCGAAGCCCTCAACTTATCCCTCGCTTGCAGCTTCGAAAGCCAACTCCGCGCCGAATCCATTTTCTCTAATCAAAATCAAATTTCACCTTAACCAACTCCCCCCGCATCCTGCATTTCAATGCATAACAAATATTCGATAAAAATGAAAAATACATAAAAAAAAAAAAGAAGAAAAAGAAAAGAACAGATTCGCAACTTTTGAAATAAGAAGAGGAAAAGTTAAGCAAGCAAAGAAATTCGCGCTACCGCTTAGTTTGTGTGAGACAATACGATCCGCGAAAAGCTCTCCCGGCTATTTCGCGGATTCTTTTTTTTTTTTTTAATTTTCTTTTTCCAAAACAAAACGCGAATGAGCAAAAGAAAAAAAAATTGAAGAGGAGAGAAACGGAAGAAAAGCTTTTGGTTTTCTTGTCGCGCGCGTGATTCTCATTTGTAATTTGATCGCATCACCTTCTATTTTATACGCGTTTCCCCCTTTTTTTCTTATTCTGATTTTTTTTTTGAATAATTATTGGGCCTCACAAGTAAATTGACCCAAGAAAGTGTTGTTGGGCGATTATGAAATTAAAATACCAATACATATTTTATTTTCCTAATATTTCTAAAGAATATGCATCATCCAATTAATTTTAAATTTTAAAAACTTATAATAATGAAGAAATAATTTTTAAAAGTTTTTGTGCTTTAATTAGTATCTGAAATATTTAAAAATATAAAAAATTTTGGAATATTCAAATATGTAAGCTCCATATGTCAATATTTCATAGTTTAACTATATTATACTTTTATAAAAAAAAAAAAAATCAGAGCAGATGATTGGAATATGATTCCGTGTGATAGTAAATTTAGTTTATAATATCACTTTTGAAGCAATTGTGGCTAATTTAACCTTTGCACGTAAAAGCATATTAAATCATAGTATAAAGTAACAAATTAATATATAAAACTAATAATTAAGTAATAATATTTCTATTAGAATAAAAATATGCAGCCAAAATATGTTATTAGTAGTACTCAAAGACTACATTTATTTTCAATTAATTTGTTCTTCTTCCTAAGCCACCTTGAGTTTGACGGTTGAAATAGTATAAAGCTTTACCGCTGCCTAATCTTCCCTCTTTTAGTTGAACTGAACTGATCAAATAATGTTGAATATTTTTGAGACTGTTTGTTTTGTATTAAATTCTTAGTGGGTTGGTTAACCTATAATACACTGCGAAGCTTCATGTTTTACCTTTTTGTTGGGTTAGAACAGATTTTAGAAGAAGTCAGACCCAACCCAGGGCCAGGGACCAGGGTGAGTGAGGGATTTGGTTTGGGGGTTTCTTGCAAGAAGGGCATCATGGGACCATCATCTTGCAATGGTTCTAACGTGTTAGTTGTTAGTTCCAGCTGGTCCCATTTTCGATGCCGGCAGGAGGGAGGAAGTTGGCGTCGACGCCATGGAATGGACAATGATGTGAACTTTTAGTTCAGCTTGGAAGTGGTACGTGTTGCTGTTGATGAGGTGGTCGAGTGGGGGAGTTGGAGAAGTGTCGCTATAAAAAAAATATGACTGCATGGAACTAACGGTTGAGTCGAGACCAAAACAAAGAGCTGTCTTCCTTTTCACATACTATACCAAGTTAAACAAGCTAGTTAACATATTCCAGAAGTCTAATGCACTGATTAGTGAGATTTTGGATGCCGCTCTCACATTCAGGATGGATCTCTTGATCTCTACTACACTTTTGCTCCAAAACCTATGAAAATGAATAGCTTAAAATTTCAGAGAAAGCATTAAGCTGTATCAGAGTCAGACTCAAGATAATTAAATTAGTTCAGAAGGAACTGATCTCCAATGGGAGATGAGCCTGCAGAAGTAAGTTGCCTTGTTTTCAACTTTTGAGGAGGCTTCTCTGGTTTTGTCCAATGAGATTAATAGGGTGTAAACTCCATGTTCTAAGTTTAATTATGGTACGTTTTGTTTTGAGAAGGGGAGAAATTCACAGCTAATTACTAGATCCAGAAGCTAGCACCTATTCAGCACCGACATTTTTCAACAAATTTCATAGATATAATTTCACCACCAAAATAGTTGACAGAATTTCAGCATTATTATCATTTTTAAACAAAGCTACCAAAGAGAGAGAAACGCTATCTTGTTATCCAGTATCCATTAGACAACCAGGAGCTAACAGTTATATAAATCAATAGTGTCCAGCCATGCATTTTTTTTTTTTAAGAAAAAGACCGTGACTCGAGAGTACGAGAAAGAGTTATAGATGTTGAATTTAAATTTGAACTTATTAAATATTATTTTTTATTTAAAAATAATTGTATAAACCAATTGATTTAATTTTTGGGTTCAAAAAATCAATTATACATGATATTTATTAAAAATGTGGGATTTAACCCCATTCTTTTGCACTAATCAAAGGCCACGAGCCTTTTGACTTTTGCCTTTTAATAAAAAAAAAAAAAAGGGAGTTCTACTTATTAAATAAGAAAAGTGGGCAATTTTGGTGTGAAGAGAGTGGCACCGCAAACTAAGAAAAGAAAAGGAAAAAAAGAAGCCAGAAAAGATAGAGAGAAAAGGGAGAAAAGAAAATTGGTTGAACAAAAGTTGATCTGTAGTTTGATTGAACTAAAATTTTATCAGCAAGTATATAATTTAGTGTTCTACCTTCTAAATAGTGAAGATCATCTTTGAAACTTTCTATGAACAAATTTAAAGTGCATTTGTTGAGTCATCTATTTTGGTAAGATTTTTTTAATTGTTTTTCTAGTTGTTGATTAGCTTTAGTTTTAGTTAAAGGAGAATTTTGTATATCTATTATTTTATAGTGAAGATTTTTCTAATCGTCCATGATTTTTTTCCTCTACACTGAAAGATTTTTCATGTAAATCATGGTGTGCTTTATTTTTCTTATATTGTTAGTTGTTGATTGTTGATTGTTATTTATTGTGATATATTGCTTTTACGTTATTGTGTTTGTTGCTTTAGGCATAACAAGTGGTATTAGAGCGAGGGTTATTTTGAGACATTGATACAGAAGAAATCCAAAACAAAAGTAAATTCTATTTGAGATTATAAAGGGTGATACAGGTTTCATGATAAAATTGATAGTATCAAATTATTCAATTTAAAAACTTACGATGAAATATCATTTTTACTGCAAAGATTTATATGTATCGGTATTAGATAATTCGGCTAAACCAGTATATATAAAAAATAAAAACTAAAAGAAGTTAGACAGAAAAACATTTGTTACAATTAAAAAATGAGTTAATATCAACGTGTTCTATCATGTAGCGTAGAAGACAGATGTCCACATTGTTTAAAAAAAATTGATAGCATTGTATAAGAAAAAAATAACTATGAATAAAATTATACTTATTAAAAAGCTTGCAACTTTATAGTACAAAGATGAACGATTGGTTACAGAGCACTTGAGTGATTTTCAAGATATAGTTAATTGGATGACTACTATGAAGGTTAAGATAGATGATGAAATGAAGGCATTGTTTCTTTTGGGTTCATTACCAAACAACTAGAATACTTTAATTGTAACTATTTTTAATTCAGCTATTGATTACAATGTGATATTAAAGAAGATAAAATATAGTATGCTTAATGAAGAAGCAAGATGAAAAAATTTAAACCATGGGAATCAAGCTCTTGTCACAGAGAATAAGGACAGAAACATCGACAGGAGTCAAAACTTAAAAGGCCGTAATAAGTCTAAATATAGATCCAAGTCCATAGATAAAGTGAAATACTCTCATTATGGTAAAACGGGTCATATAAAGTGATATTACAAAATCTTAAAGCAATAGCGAAAAGATGAAAAAGGCAGAAGTTTAAATAATGACAATGTTGCAGTAATGAATTTAGATAGTGATTCAGTTACTTTAATTTGTACACATGATGATTGTAATCATGTTGGTGATTCTAGCATTGAGTGGATAGTTGACACAAGAGCGGCATACCATTGTGTTCATAAGAGAGAGTTATTTATAACTTACAAAGCAAGAGACTTTGGTTGATTCAAAATAAAAAATAAGACTGTATCATAGATTGTTAAGATTGATGATATTGTTATACAAACTAGTACAAGTTACATGTTGACTTTAAGGGATGTTAAACATATTCAAATATAAGAATGAACTTGCTTGTTATTAATGTCTTTGATAAGAAATGATATGAGAGTCAACAAAAGAATAGGCAGTAAAAGCTTTTCAAATGATTTATGATAGTTGTAAAGAAAAAACTATGTTGCATAATGTACAAAACATGGATGCAATTGAACGCAACCACATAAATATCATTGAAAATGATGTTCAGCAAATTTATGGCATAAATGGCTAGCACACATGAGTGAAAAAGGGTTATAGATTTTGGCAAGACAGTCTCTCATTACCTTGACCAAATGTATGTTTCTCGATTCATGTGATCAGTATTTATTTGGCAAGCATAGTATAGTTTCTTTTCATAAGAGTTCTAAAAAAAAGTAAATTGAAATTGACGTATGTGATCCCATTAAGGTTAAGTCATTGAGTGGTAGTAAATATTTTATTACTTTTATTAATGATGCTTTATATAAGACTTTGGTGTATATATTGAAAAACAAAAGCCAAATATTGTAGTATTTTAAAAAAATTTATATCATGGTGAAAAGAATGATTGGGTTACCTTTGAAGCATATTTGGACTAATAATGATGGAGAATACACATTCAAAGACTTTGAAAAGTATTGTTTAAAGTATGAGATCAGGCATGAGATGATGAACCTGAAATACCATAGCATAATGGTATAGCTAAAAAAATGAACCATACAATTGTAAAAAAAGTCAAATATATGTTGAGGATGGCAAAATTACCAAAGCTATTATAGGATGAAGCAGTCAATATAGCTCGTTACTTACTTAATAGATTACCATAAGTTCTTTTGGACTTTGACATTCTAAAAGAGTATGGACAAAAAAATATGTTTCATACTCTCACTTAAAAATTTTTTAGTGTAAAGCATTTATTCATGTGAAACAAAAAGAGGTCAAAACTTGACCGTAAAGCCATATAGTGTGTGTTTGTAGGATATAGTGATGAGAAATTTGACTACAGAGTATAAGATCTAATGAAAAGAATGATAGTCAGAAACAGAGATATAATATTCCATAAAAAAATACATAACAAACTTTGAAAAAAATGAAAAGACTACATAGATTACTGTTAAGTATAATATTTTAACACCAATAGGGGTTCTTCAGAAAAGAGTCATAATTAGTGAAAATGAGTAAGAAATAGAACTTGCGGATATGAATAAGCTAACCACAGTTAGTGATGAGCCAAATGTAATCAATTTTAAGCAAAAGAAGTAATCATCTCTACTTATGAGTGTTGAGCAGGGTGAGCAATCTTTTTCACCAAATAGTGTTGAGCAAGAAGAG